CAGTGCAAGTTGAGGGGCTCCGGAAGACCCCTCTCCAGAGCAGAGGGGCTCCTGCGGGAGCCGCTGCCCCAGAGGCCGTGCTGGTCGTAGCCCAGCAGTTGGCTCAGCAGCTGGCTGTCCTGGATGGGGGCGGCCGAGCATAGCGAATAACCCATGCTGGGTACCTGAGAGGGTTTTCTGACCCCCTTTGAACTGAAGGTGCCAGGATGAGAGCCCGGGCTCTTCCCCGAAGCTCCTGACAGGGCCTCAGCCTTGGGTGAGCCCAGCGAGCCTGGGGCATTCGTGGGAGATGGCTTAGCAAGTGGCTTTCTGCATTTCCCAGCAGCAAAATACTCTCTCCTGGCATCTGGCCCCGGCACTGGGAGGCTGCAGTGCTGCTGCAGGAGCTGGCTGGCTGCTTTCGGCCAGATGGTCTTCAGGACAGAGTCCACCACCTGGGATGTCACCTCGGCCAGCTCGTGCTTCAGTGCCTGCGAGAGGACCCTCGCTGCTGAGGGCAGGCCACCTGTGTTGCCTCTGTCCTCATCCTCCTCCGGCCCATGCACCTCCAGGACACTCCTCCAGAGAGGCACTTTGCGCGGGTCGCTGGTGGCAGTGGCACTGTCCTTGTCTGGTCTGTCTCCAGGCTTTCCAGGTAGTGGATGCACTTTCTCGGCATCTTCCTGGGTTTGGGCAGTGTCCCCAAAGTCGCAGACCTGGGAGAACTTCTCCTGAAGCCGCCTCAGCTGCTGCTCTAAAAAGCAGAGCTGCTCCTTCAGCTGCTGGCAGCCCTCGGGATGGGGGCTGCCCCCTGCGGGGGCCACTCGCCTGGCCGCCCCCGTGCCCTGCTGGGGCACCCTCGGCTTCCTCTTGCTCTCCCGGGGCATCTCGCCACCCCTCTCCCTCTCGTGCCCAAAAGCTGCCTCCAGGCTGGTGCCAAATGGCTGAGGGGTTGGTGAGACGCTCATGCCTTGGATGATGCTCTCCACCCTGGCCCGCTTGGCTCGTAGGTGCTGGTCAGAGAGCTGGTCCCGTAGGTGCTGGTCAGAGAGCTGGTCCCTGTCGCCAGCACAGGGCAGAGGAGCCAGGGCACGGGTCCTGGGGAAAGCCAGGGCATGTGCTCCTTCTCCAGGAGATGCACCACGCTCGTAGTCCTGAGGCAGGGCCACTGCCTGAGAGGAAGGGAAAAGGATGGTGGGATCCAGGCTCCTGCCAACCATCGGGTGGCTGAGGAGCTGTGGTATCAGGGATGCGCCGGGGGAAGGCAAGAGAGAGTCGGTCTGGAAACAGGGCTCCGACTTCAGGCCCTGGCCATGCCCTGAAGTGGCACGGTCTCTGTCCTGCTCAGAGCCAGTCCTACCATCCATCGTCTCTTCTTGCCTGGACACTGGAGAGCTGACCCTCAGCTGGTTGGGGATCATTCCCAGTGACAGACTGGCAGGCTTCCCAGGTGTTTGATGTTTCAGCCGGCTAGCGGTGTGGAGCTGGAGAAAGAGCAAGAAACATCAGTGGGCAGGACCTTATACAGCAGCTCTCCATGCACGTGGCCAGAGATTTTTCCTCACAGATTTCCAGGGCATCCCTGCTCCCCTGCAAAATCTATTTCACCAGGGAATGACCTAGGCAGAAACCTCCAGGCACTGCAAAACCCATGAGCAGGCTGTCGGGTGTTACAAAACAGCAGCAACGCCCTGGACACTGTCACAGCTCCCACCTACCAGCCAAGCATTCATTGTGTCCAGAGTACATTTCACACGGTTTGAGCCCTGGATGTGCCCGGCAGCGTGGACTTCCCACACCGCCAGCTGTGCCTGCACTGCAGGCATTTGGGGAAACTCCCCTTTGGGCTCGTGGACTCAGGTACGAGGGTGGTGAGCACCAGACGGAGCCCTCTGCCACGCACACCTGGGCAAACGTGGTTTTGGGTGCTCCTGAGTGCTGGCAGAGCACAGGGACGGCAGCTACATCCCTGGTGAAGGCATTCACGGCACATAGCAGCATGGCTGCTCCCTGCTTCTGCTGGCACCCAGCACCCACCACCAGAGCCCCAAGGTGATGGGAGGCAGCGCTGGAGGTCCGCGGCGGCACAAACAGGCTGGTGGAAAGGGGCACAGCGAGGGTGAAAGTGTGATGTGACCTGCTGCGAGCGGGACACACTGGGATGTTCAGGCTAACACAGCACGGGGCTCCTAAGCGCTTGGCAAAACACTGAATAAAAGGGATGGGGATGGGGATTACCGGGGAAGAAAAAAACTACTGAGCCAGCAGCCCTCGGCTTAAAATTGTCATGCTGACTCCAGACAGGGATCCACCCCCTCCGCTCGTTCGCTCACTTGGACAGCTTTGCAAAAGAAGGTGCAAAAGCTTGTAACCTGGGCAATTACAGAGTTAACTGTCTCTGCGGGATGCTTCTTCCTCATCCACACTAATTAGTGGTAGCTTTGTATCCCTGAAGTAGGACAGTTTATGTCTTTTCCAGTCACCTTTAAAGTGTCTGAGATTCTTTTGCTACACCCAGAAATGCCTGATCATTTTCAACACCATCAGTCTCCTGTTCCTGTGACTGTCTGCTCCACGGTGAGTCCCCCTGGCTAATGAGCAGTGTAGAAAATGGGTTTCTTCTCATCGGTTTTTAGCACGTTGCCTTTCTTCAAACAGCCCCGTATTCCAGGCAGGTATCTGGGAGAGCTCTACCTTTTGCAGAGCTCTAGTCTTGACAAACCAAGTATTTCTGGGTTGTCCGACACACTTGTTGCTCTCCCATGTTGTCTACCCACCCCTCCTGACCATTAGGATTTCATTTTCCTAACAGTCTGTCATGGGGGCATTCAAACTGCTCAGTTTACCCATGACCAGCGTGAGGCCGCGGTCCTGGCAGCTCTCAGCACCACCCCTCGCCCTTGTATAACAAGCTTCACCATCGCCTGCGGCCACCTCATAGCCTGCCAGCCGCTTCCAACAAAGCCACACAGCAAATGCAACACAGTCATAGATTTCATCCACCCTTAAGCTTTTCCACATGGTAGGGGCACAAGACAGCCGGTCCCGCTACCTGACTCGGTTTGTTACAGAAACACCTTCTTTTGGCTCTTGGTCACAATTTCTCACCTCCTCTGTGTTCAACAGCAAGGTCAGGGAGCTTACCCGTCCCCTGTGCTGCGGTTTCCCAGCCCCAGAAACCCAGGGCAATGCACCCCTTGTAAGCAGATCGACTCAGAGCTGGCAAGGAGCCCTCTACTTGCCTAAGGCTTCCAGCACCACCATCTTTCTGCCGGAGATTTGGAGGGTAGGAGCAGAGCCTGTGGTCCCAGGCCATTGCAGCCCGCCCTGGGTGGCCTCAGCTCCCCCCCCTGCAGCCTCCCCAGCGCCGCAGGACCGCGAGGTGCTGCCCCAAACAAACTGCTGCCGCTGATGCAGCCCTTTCGCCACTGAGTTAGCAGGTGCGTGCTTTGGTTCCTACTCTTACTACCAGCCTTCACCAGTACCACCTTCCAAAACACTAAAAAGCAGCTGAGGCTCCTCTTACCTGAAGAAAAAAAAGAGGAACGAAATGAAGATGCTCAGAAGAAAAGGCAAGCATGTCCTCTCTAAAATGGGAGCCACCCCACATGGGGTCCCCAGGTGCTCCTTGGTGGGAGAGCCGTGCACGGAGCAGCCTGCACCCCTCCAGCA